TAGATAGAGGAATGGATTGAATGAGGAGTCCATGTGTAGTGGTGCCAGAGAGATAACGCAAGATATGCTTGACTGCTTTCCAGTGATCATCTAGAGGTGCAGCCATGAACTGACAGACTTTATTAACTGCATAGCTAATTTCAGGTCTTGTTAGAGTAGCATACTGTAGAGTACCTACTATAGATCTGTAGAAACAAGGATCGGGTAGGGATTCACTCCCTTCATGAGTGAGTTTGCAAGTACTGATCATAGGAGTCATGACTCCTTTGGAATCTAGCATTCCAACTTGATGCAATAAATCTCTGACATATTTGGCTTGAGAAAGGTGTAGGCTTCCATCTGACAATTTCTGGACTTGAATTCCTAAAAAGAAATCAATGTCTCCCAAATTTTTAAGAGAGAAAGAAGAGTTCAGTTTGTTGATGAGAGTTTGTATAACTGAAGGGTTATTGCCAATGAAAAGAATGTCATCAACATAGATGAGGATGTAGATGAGGATACCAGAAGATGCAAAGAGAAGCAGAGAAGGATCATACTTGCTTTGCTTGAACCCAGCACTATAAAGAACTGAAGTCAGTTTGTATAACGAGGATCTAGGTGCCTGTTTTAAGCCATATAGGGACTTGTGAAGTTTGCAAACCAAAGATGTATCTTTTACTTGAAATCCTGGAGGTTGAACCATGTACACTTCACTTAGATCTCCATTAAGGAATGCATTATTGACATCCAATTGTTGAATAGGCCAGTGATGAGATATAACAAGAGTAAGAAGTATTCTGATTGTGTTAGGCTTGACCACAGGAGAAAAGGTTTCTCCAAAATCAAAACCAAATCTCTGATGGTAGCCCTTAGGAACTAACCTTGCTTTGAATTTATTCAAGGAACCATCTGCATTTTTTTCACCCTGAAGACCTATTTGCAGCCTATAGCCTGTTTATCTGGAGGAAGAGGAACTAAAGACCAAGTGTTGTTAGAAACCAATGCATCATACTCAGTTTTCATTGCAGCAGACCATTGAGGAGAAGTGGGTGCCTGTTTGACTGACCTGGGCTCAACAAGCTAATAGTAAGGTTGGATTAAGCCGAGGTTTAACAATTCCAGATTTGGCTCTGGTTTGCATGGGGTGAGTGTTAATCAGATGAACATTGGATTCAGAAGAAGAAGATGATGGGTGTGATGGAGATGAATTAGATTGTGAAGGAGGAGTGGGAACAGAATCAGGTTGAGATGAATTAGGTTGTAAGTGGGAGGGAGTAGAGACAGATTGAGAGGAATTAGGTTGTAATTGAGAGGGAGGAGAACCTGGTTGAGAAGAATCAATTTGGGATGAAGACGTAGAAGAATCAGATTGGGAAGAGGAATTGGAAGGAACAGTAGTTATGGGAAGAGACTGTGAAGTGATGGAGATACAGGGCTGATGAGGAATTGAAGTGAAAAGAATAGGATAAGGAAATTTTGACTCATTAAAAACCACATCTCTGGAGATATAGACTTTCCCAGAAGGTGAGAGACACTTGTAGAGACACTTGTAGCCTTTGTGTTGGGAAGAATAACCTATAAACACACACTCTTCAGAGTGAAAATCCATTTTGTGTTTATTGTAAGGTCTGATAAAAGGAAAACATGAACATCCAAAGACTCTAAGAAAAGAATAATCTGGAATAGAACCATACAACTTAAAATATGGACTGGAATTTGCAATTGACTTTGAAGGAGTTCTATTTGAAAGATGAATAGAGGTTGCAAATGCAGTATCCCAGAATTTATGAGGTAAAGAAGAATGGGCTGGAAGAGACAGACCTTTCTCAACAATTGTTCTATGTTTTCTCTCAACAACACCATTTTGGTGATGAGTGTGAGGACAAATGATTCTATGTGTGATGCCTTTGTCAGTTAGGAATTTAGTAAAGGATCTAAACTCACCTCCCCAATCAGATTGAAGAGATTTAATGGAAACAGAAAACTGGTTGAGAACATATTGGTAAAAGTTTTGAAAAGCAGTAAGGGCATCAAACTTCTTTTTCAGAAAGTAAATCAGTGTATCTTGTGTAAGCATCAATGAATGAAATATAGTAAGAATATCCATCAAAAGATAACATGGAGCTGATCCCCAAAGATCAGTGAATATCAGTTCAAATGGTGAGTGAAAGGTGGTGGTAGTGGAGGGAAAAGATGAAAGTCTATGTGCTTTACCAAGACAACAAGAAGAGCAGAAATCAATCACTTTTATTAGTAGAAGTAACATTACAATGTTGCATTATAGATTTGAGAGCCTCAAAGTGACTGTGACCTAGCCTCAAATGCCACAAATTACGGGAAAGAGAATTATTACAAGACTGAACATGATTACAGGACTTATTTTGAGACAAAGATTGACTGGAAACAAGAGTTGGAAGGGACTGAAACTTGTAGAGACCATTTGCACCTAGGATGCCATGTAGGAGGACCTTTTTAGAAGCTTGTGGTTTAACAAAGCATTCATGAGCATGAAACTCAAAGAAAACATTATTATCTCTTGCAAACTGACTAACACTAAGTAAGTTTTTGGTTATGGAAGGAACATGGAGAATGTTGTTAAGTAAGAGTGTATAAGAAGGATGAAAAGGAGAGGAAAAGGGAGAGAAACCAATCTTGTCAGTGGTAGCAATTTGGAAACCAATTCTGAATGTTGAGAGGATCAGGTGTGACATGGTGTGAAGCTCCAGAATTTGGAAACCAATTCTGAACATTAGGAGGAGGTCCTAACAAGGAAGTGTTTGCAGAAGCCCAAACTGCAGTTGGAGCAGGTTGATTTTCAGATGATGATGAAGAATGATAATTGGTAGGCCCCCAATTTGTATTTTGAGAAGGCTGAGTGGGAATGTAGCTTGGTGTTGGTTGGGTAAACTGTTGATATGGATGAGAATGAGGTGTAGAACAGTTATTATGAGGATGAGGTGTAGGATTTGGATATGAGAGTGTTTGTGGAGGATAAGAGTGATAAGGATGAGATGTAGGATTTGGTAAAGTAGGATTAGGGACTGTGTAGGTAGGATTATGATTTGGTAATGTAGAATTAGAGATTGTGTAGGCAGGATTATATCTGTGGTAGCAAATAAGAGCACTGTGACCAACCTTGGTACAAATGACAGAACTGCGACCACCAGATCTGCCACCTCTTCCTCTGTTAAAGCCACCACGACCTCTACCTCTGTAGATAGTGTTTGTACCAGAATTATCATATTGAGCAATTTGTGCAGATGGACTCTCAGAGGAGTTTTGAGAATCAGTATCAATTTGTGAAGGTGTTTCTTTGAGTTGAGCAACATTGACAGAGAATAAAGTCTGTTGCGAAGAGTCTCGAAGCTTTCTTATTCGCAGCTCTTTAGCTAGCAGGAGAGACTCAAGCTTAGATACACAGTTACAGGATCTAGAATACTTCTGGATGTGACGGAAGATACAATTGAATCATATTCTTCAGGAAGACCTTCAAGGATCACATTGATGTGATCCTTGGTTGAAATAGGTTCACCGACGGAAGTAAGATTATCAATGATGGTCTGAACACGAAGGAGATAAACAGAAATGGAGCGATCACCTTTTCCGGTGTTATACAGCTTGGATTTCAGCTGGCGAGCCTTCGCGACAATGTTTGACCAGAAGAAATGCTCGATTTCACTCGAGAGTTGATACGAGAAGGTGCAATTGATGACACGAGCATGAAACGATTCCGAAAGAGATGCCAATAACCACGAAAACAGCATTTGATCTTGTTGTTCCCAAACACAATAAGCTTCATTGATCGTCTTTGTCGCGTCATCATTACTGGTGATGAATTGATCTGGAATTTGAGGATTTTCAATGAATTTTTGAAGTTTATGCGCTCGAATCACAGATTTGACATGATGTTTCCAGAACAAAAAATTATTGGAATCTAGTTTGATTGGTAAGGGGTGATGAAAGATTATGGGAGAATTTTGAGAGGTTGAATGAGAAGACGTTGAATCAGATGTCGAGTTCGTCATCCTTGGAACGAAGGAGCTCTGATACCATAATAGAATTTGAGATAGGATTAATGAGGAAGAAAGATTATTCTCATTAAAGTGAAATGATGATTACAGAGAGTATTTATAGAAGTTACAGTGCAACTGAAACTAACTAACTAACTGAACATAACTAACGCAATCCGTATAGTATATCTAACATCTGGTCAGTTCTCGGTGCTATATTTCTCTTAACTAACAGACCAAACTGAAAACCGTCAAAATCGAACCAAAGGACACTCCTAGTTTGTACTATAAGTTCTATCGTTAACCTAGTGCATAAGAGGATATTATGGCTTCTTGAATACACAAAAGAGCTTTCTGCTTTGGATTGTTTTTTAAAAGCACACACAAATGAGATCCGCGGTGTTTCCCACTTCCCTCCATGGTGACCCCAACACACAACTTATTAGATGTGGGTGGAGGGATTCTCCACAGGAGATATGCCTCCGTGTTAGTTTGGATTCTAAGTATTGGTGCTTTCGTACTTCATTATGATTTATTCGGTTACTATTAATATTATTATTAATATTATTATTATTATCATCATCATCACCACCACCACCGTCGCCGCCACCGCCGCCACCACCACCACCATTTTTATTATGATTATTATTATTATTATGATGATTATTATTATTATTATTATTATTATCATCAAACAAACAACATTACCCTGGCACCACAAAGGCTTACCTACGGTGGGGTAAAGGAGTCGGATGCACGCAACCTTACCCTGTACTAAAGCACATAGAGACTGTTTCTGGATGACCCATGACTTGTAATAATAATCAGATTGCCTTGAATTTCACATAATGATGATAATGTGATACTGCCAATATCAACACTACAATACACGTCTTTCCGAAAACAAAGTTTTGGGTGGATGGTGATCTTAAATTTGCATTTTTTTCTCTTCTATTATTTCACTCCAAAACGTCAATGAGAGCAACTTCCTGAAATGTTTTTATTTTCCAGTTATACTCCTATATCAGATCCTGATACTAAGGGCTACTTTGACCTCTTAATCAAGGTATATCATATATCTGATTACTTACGTATATCTTAGAGTACTACTTATTTGCAATGATAATTCAAGTAGTTTACTACTTTACTAGCTAAAAACTATTGCAGGTTTACCCAGAAGGAAAGATGAGTCAACATTTTGCAGGCTTAAAACCTGGAGACAAAGTAGAAGTCAAAGGGTTGGTCAATTACAAATGAAGTTCTAATCCTGCAGTGAACTGCCAACATATACATTTCCATGACATCGCTAATCTCTTGCAGGCCCATCGAGAAACTTCGATATAGCCCAAATATGAAGAAACAAATTGGCATGGTAATTGATGGCCTTCATTCTGACATGCTACTCAACCATCACTCATTTGCATTCAGGAGTGTGTAACTTAAAATAATTATAATCAAACTTAATGGTTGGATCGTTACCAAGCCATTAAGTAGTCAAGGATGATATAACTTGAATAAAAGAGAGTTAAAGGAAGAGAATAATTTTCTGGTTGTGTGTCTGTCCACAACCCTGAACTCCTTTATTTATAATAATGAGTGTACAAGTACATTAATGAGAGTGAGGAGATGAAAGGTCAAAGAAGATGAAAGATCAGTTCTAGAAAATACAGAGGAGTCTATTTAGCTACCAATAAATCTTGATAAATCTAACACTCCCCCTCAAGTTGGAGCATACAAATTGTATGTACCAAGCTTGGAACAAATAAATTCAATTCGAGGACCTCTCAAAGACTTTGTCAACACATCTGCAAGTTGATTATTGGACCCAATAAATTCAGTGCTGATTTCTTTAGACATCAGCTTTTCCCGAACAAAATGGCAATCGATCTCTATGTGTTTGGTTCTCTCGTGGAACACCGGATTTGAGGCGATGTGAAGGGCAGCTTGGTTATCACAATACATCTTCATTTGTTGAACCTTACAGAACTTTAACTCTTGAAAAAACTGTTTTACCCATATGAGCTCACAAGTGAGAGACACCATTGCCCTATATTCCACTTCAGCGGAGGATAGGGCAACTACATTTTGTTTCTTGCTTTTCCAAGAAATAATATTTCCTCCAAGAAAGACACAATATCCTGTAGTGGATCGTCTATCCACAGGAGATCCTGCCCAATCAGCATCACAATACCCTAGGATTTGAGTGTTCCCTTTGTCTTCATAGAGCAAGCCTTGTTCTGGAGCCTTTTTATGTATCTTAGGATGCGAATGACAGCGTTCCAATGCTCAGTGTATGGCGCTTGCATAACTGACTAACAACACCCACTGCAAATGATAGATCCGGTCTAGTGATAGTGAGGTAAATGAGCTTCCCAACCAACCGTCTATAAAACACCTCTAAGTACTATCTACGGGTCCATAGGACTATCTACGGGCTTACAATCTAAGTAGCACCGGGACGGAAACGGAAACGGAAACGGGGACGGAGAAACTCTAAACTCAAAATATCAAGATACGGGTACGGCAAGGAAACGTCGAACTAAAAAATAAAATTTTACTAGTATAAGTAATTTTTACGTCCAGTGTCCAACAAGTATGAAATAATTAAACACTTCAATCCAATTGAACAGGTCAACAGTCAACACTTCAACCCACTCTTCCAGCGACTTCAGCAATCAACACAAGGTCTAGAACTTTCGCCGAACACCAAATAGTCTGAATTTCAGACTGAAACTTTCATCGGTCACCAACTTCAGCGCAAGGTCTCCGTCTCCCGTCATCACCACTCTCAAGCGTCGCATATTGCTGCAGTAAAACCCTCAAATTCCGTCGACGTCGAGTGATGGATGCTAGAGTTGCAGCCTCGCAGGTTAGTTGTGATTAAAAAAATTAACGCGGATTAGGCCCGGCTCCAAATTGACCGACCTTTTTTTAGAAAACTAACCAGAAACGCCTCAGCCCACTTGAATTCTCGTTTCCTATACGTTTCCCCGAGCCAGCCCAAGTGCTCAGAAACGTTTCCTTGCGTTTGCCAGTCGTTTCCCGGCGTTTCTGCGCGTTTCGCGTTTCCGAAACGTTTCCGGGACGGAAACTTGAGGGAGTTTGATGTTTCCGTGCATCCTAGCTTACAATCGATCATTCCCGTTTCTTTTAGCATATCAAGAGCATATTTCCTTTGAGAGATTACAACACCTTCTTTTGACTGGGCCACTTCAATACCCAAGAAATATTTGAGACTCCCAAGATCCTTGGTCTGGAAATGACTGCCCAAGTGTTCCTTCAAGCGAGATATTTTTGCAGCATCATTTCCTGTAATAACAATGTCATCCACATACACTATCAAGTAAACACATTTACCAGGAGAAGTGTGGCAATAAAAAATAGAATGATATGCTTCACTACGTTTCAGCCCAAACGCTTGAACAACAGAAGTAAATTTTCCGAACCAAGCTCGTGGAGATTGCTTTAGACCATAAAGAGAGCGGCGTAACTTGCACACCAAACCAGACACCCCCTGAGCAACAAACCCAGGAGGTTGCTCCATGTAGACCTCCTCATCCAGATCACCATGTAAGAATGCATTTTTTTATGTCTAGCTGATAAAGTGGCCAATGACAAATGGCTGCCATGGCAAAAAAGAGACGAATAGTAGTCATTTTGGCCACGGGAGAAAATGTATCACTATAATCAAGGCCATAGATCTGGGTGTATCCCTTGACAACTAACCGGGCTTTGAGACGATCCACTTCTCCATTCGGACCAACTTTAATGGCATAAACCCATCGACATCCAACTGCTTTCTTTCCTGGTGGAAGCGGAACTAATTCCCATGTTTTATTATGTTCAAGAGCCTGCATTTCTGCAATCATGGCTCGTCGCCATCCAGGATGATCAAGTGCTTCTTTCACATCTTTAGGAATTGTGATCGAGGAGACGGAGGATATAAAGTTACAATAGGAAGGAGTAAGTCTATGATAACTAAGGAAATTGTAAATAGGATGTGGATTACGGGTAGAGCGAGTACCTTTCCTGAGAGCAACCGGCCAAGCTAAATCATCATTATCAAGAATTGTGGAAGAGGGTGATGATTGAGAAGGATTTGCTGAAGAGGGCTCACTTTGAAGAATTGAATTGGTTTGTCGGGTCCTACGTTGGTAGGTAATAAGAGGAGGACTCTGGTTGGTTGAGTCGTCTACTGGATCTAAAGGAGACTGGTTGGGAATGGAGTCATTGACAATAGACGGAACAAAGGGCTCAAGAGATGGTATAGGGAGAACTTGCTGGACAGATTGATCTCTAACTGAGAAAAAAGGAGTTCGTTCAAAGAAAGTGACATGGACAGACATATAGTATCTCTTATTCTCAAGAGAGTAACAACGATACCTTTTTTGAAGACGGGAATAACCTAAGAAAACACATTTGACAGCCCGAGCCGAGAGTTTATCTAATCCTGGAGACATATCATGAACAAAACAGACACAACCAAACACACGAGGGGAAACATGAAAGAGAGGTTCATTAGGAAACAAGACAGAATGAGGGATTTTATTATTAAGAGAAAAGGATGGCATTCTGTTAATAAGAAAGCAGACAGTTAAGACAGCATCTCCCCAATAAAGTACGGGCAGTCTCAATCAAGTGTCTATTTTTCCTTTCCGCTACACCATTTTGTTGAGGTGTATGAGGACAAGTGGATTGGTGTAAAATGCCATGTGAACTTAAGGAGGAGGAAAAACCAGAGGAGAAATATTCCTTGGCATTGTCACTCCTTAAAATTTTAATTACTGTTCCAAATTGATTGCGAATTTCATTAAGAAAGCAGGAAAAGATAGACAAAAGTTCAGAACGGTCCTTCATTAAATAAACCCATCTACACTTGGAAAATTCATCAATGAACGTTACAAAATATTTGAAACCAAAAGAGGAAACCCAACTTGGTCCCCAAACATCAGAATGGATAATAGAAAATGCAGAATTACATCTAGAGATGCTAACTTGTCGGCAGCGTCACATAGGCGCTGAATATCATTTGCAAAGATCTCCTGGACTTTCTTCCAAAAAATCTTGCAAGTTTTGAAGGTTCTGAGGGTCCCTAAAATATTGGGTTCTACGGACTGCCATAATAGAGCACACAACTGGTAATCTAACCTTTTCCATTTTTCAGGTTCTTGATCTCATTTTCATCTTTTTCAAGATGGTCATGGTACCCTTGTCCCAGAAACCAAAGTTCCACAACAGTTGATCAAGACATATAATTTTTCCTATTAAGCTTCTCTGAAGTGATAGAAGGAGTTCCTGAGAAGAGTTGGGTTGGACCGGAAGCCATATGGAAACAACGACGTTAGGTCTGCGACGATGAGCAGCGGTCAGGGCTGGATAGAGATGGCAGAACCGGGCTTTGATACCAACTTGAATAGAAGAGAGTAAAGGAAGAAAATAATTTTCTGGTTGTGTGTCTGTCCGCAACCCTGAACTCCTTTATTTATAATAATGAGTGTACAAGTACATTAATGAGAGTGAGGAGATGAAAGGTCAAAGAAGATGAAAGATCAGTTCTAGAAAATACAGAGGAGTCTATTTAGCTACCAATAAATCTTGATAAATCTAACAACTTCCCCAATGTCCCCAATAAAAAACAGAATGATCTGCTTCACTACGTTTCAGCCCAAACGCTTGAACAACAGAAGTAAATTTTCCGAAAGCTCGTGGAGATTGCTTTAGACCATAAAGTGAGCGGCGTAACTTGCACACCAAACCAGACCCCCCCGAGCAACAAACCCACAAGGTTGCTCCATGTAGACCTCCTCATCCAGATCACCATGTAAGAATGCATTTTTTATGTCTAGCTGATAAAGTGGCCAATGACAAATGGCTGCCATGGCAAAAAAGAGACGAATAGTGGTCATTTTGGCCACCGGAGAAAATGTATCACTATAATCAAGGCCATAGATCTTCGTGTATCCCTTGGCAACTAACCGGGCTTTGAGACGATCCACTTCTCCATTTGGACCAACTTTAATGGCATAAACCCATCGACATCCAACTGCTTTCTTTCCTGGTGGAAGCGGAACTAATTCCCATGTTTTATTATGTTCAAGAGCTTGCATTTCTGCAATCATGGCTTGTCGCCATCCAGGATAATCAAGTGCTTCTTTCACATCTTTGGGAATTGTGATCGAGGAGACGAAGGATATAAAGTTACAATAGGAAGGAGTAAGTCTATGATAGCTAAGGAAATTGTAAATAGGATGTGGATTACGGGTAGAGCGAGTACCTTTCCTGAGAGCAACCGGCCAAGCTAAATCATCATTATCAAGAATTGTGGAAGAGGGTGATGATTGAGAAGGATCTGCTGAAGAGGGCTCACTTTGAAGAATTGAATTGGTTTGTCGGGTCCTACGTTGGTAGGGCTAAAAAATTGGACGTCCTCTTCCTTTGTTGAATTGGCCTTATATGAATTTTAAGCGCGTGTTTGTAAATAATTTATTTAACTGCCTTATATGAATTTTAAACTGAAATTTGGTGGGTATAAACTAGACTTGATGAAGAACATGCTAAAACAATTTCATCAAAAATTTACACTGAGAAGGGCCTCAAATGTCCTTGGCCGGACAGCGGCCTGACAGGAGCACTATTCTAGAGTTAAGTATAGATGATCATAGTTCTTCCGTTGATACTTACCCCAAGTTCAATTTTCGCTGCGCAGATTGCAGGGGGCAGTGGCATAACCCCAATGCTTCAGATCATTGAGGCCATTCTAAAGAACCCTGATGACAACACGCAGGTGGATAGACACAAATCAGTTCTTTGTTTCATTTATCATCAAAGCCTGGGTCTGTAAATTGCTTTTTCGGGGGTTTAAGCCAGACCGCTGTTGTTCATCTATTCATAAAAAGGTGTGCATGCCGAATTTTCTTTTCAGTTGCAAAAGATATCTGATCGGACCTTCTATTCTTACAGATCTCATTGGTGTATGCTAATGTGTCCCCTGATGACATACTTCTGAAGAAGAAGCTAGATGTGCTTGCAGCTATACATCCAAACCTGAAGGTACTGGGTAAATCAATTTGAAAATGTTGTTACATCTTTATGCATTTATAATCTACTGTAATTTTTTCCCTTTTATTTTTTATTTTTTGTTATGTTTGATTTCATTTAATTTATTATATTTAAGTTTTGGGTTCAATGCTCAGGTATTCTACACTGTAGATGATCCAACAAAGGATTGGAGAGGAGGCTCTGGTTATATTTCAAAGGACATGGTTGTTAAAGGCTTGCCTTCCCCTAGTGATGATACACTCGTCCTTGTAAGTGATCTCGCATGGTGGCAGTGCTGAGTGCTGAATTGAAGTGTCTGAAAAAAGAATCGAATTTATCAACCTAAAACAACATCTAAGCCTGATTCCCAAAAGATTTTGGGGTCTGCTCATACTTGTCACGGCGGTAAGTCGAGTCGCGGCGCCAGCCGACCGCCCTATCGCCTAGGCGACTAGTCGCATATATATGTATAATATATATATATATATATGCTTAAATATATTTATATTATATTACTAACTAAATTGTATATAACTTAGAATTCAAACCCACAATTAATAATTAATGGTAAATTAATTAGAAAATAATTATTTTCATAAATTTATATGTTGACTAATAAAGAATAAGAAAAGGTGATGAACTTAAAACAAATAACTAATTAATATTGACAATTTTAATTTGTGAAAAAGGAAATAATATTAAGTAACAACACTTTTTCTAAAAATCATAATTTTAAATAATAAATAAATAACTGACGACTTCTTTCAAAAATAAACAATGACTCAGCAACTCAGTACGCTTCATGGAAGCACACATGTATATGACTGTAAATTGATATATATATATATATATATATATATATATATATATATATAGAGAGAGAGAGAGAGAGAGAAAAGATCATGTGAGAAGTCCCCCCTTAGGCTGAGAAGCTGAGAAGTCTAACTTATAAGCTCAAAACACGAACTTTTAACCAATAAATCATAACTTATAGACCCCCTCCAAAAAAATTACGAAAATGCCACCGCGTCAAAATAACTCCAGAAACCATGAAATTTTTTTTGCAGAAAGTTCGTGTTTTTGAGGGGGTCTATAAGTTATGATTTTTTGGTTAAAAGTTCGTGTTTTTTGCTTATAAGTTAGACTTCTCAGCCTAAGGGCACTTCTCAGCTGATCCGCTCCCTATAGACAAATGTTCAGGTCCGGAATTCCGGACCAGAGCCGCCGTCTGGCCGACGGCTTTTGGGGCCCTTTCCGGTGGCTTTTTTGATGAAATTTTTATGGCATGTTCTTCATCAAGTCGTCAAATGAATTTTGGAAGTTAACTGCGTTTTATATGTATTTTTTTGCGCAGTTAACTTTAAAAAATCATTTGACAACCTTCCGGATTGAGTTTTTAGCTGATTTTTTTTGTGTATAAACTAGACTTGATGAAAAACATGTCATAAAAATTTCATCAGAAAAAGCCACCGGGAAGTGCCCCAAAAGCCGTCGGACGGCAGTTCCGGTCAGGAATGCCTGACCGGAACACTACTATATATATATATATACCTATAAAACATAATTAAAAATACTAAAAAACGTAAGCAACTAAGATAGACAAGAAGATAGCAGAACCACCTGCAAAGTCGTTTGCTTCAGCGAGGAACAAGGCAGGGTAGGTGAAACTTCTTTTTGGAGTTACTACGTCAAAGCTTCTACGGCGATGGACAACGAATACTTCGTATTTCGTAAGTTTATAACGGAGTAGATTAGTTGGGGCTTTGGAGTTTGGGCTTTATTATTAATCAATAATTAAATTAGTTTCCTAAAATTAAAGCCTAATACTACGAAGTATTTTATTTTTGGGGCATCTGGGATTTTGAGCTAGCGTTCTGTTCAACTTGGGAAAAAGGCGCCGACTTGTTGCCATCTTAGTTTTAAAAGGCACGAGGCGGTTTGAGGCGATTTCATTGATTTACGCTAGGCGGTGAGGCGCGTGCCTCACGGATCTCAGCCACATTTCTTTGGTGAAATATATTTTTAGTACTTCTACATGAAGCACTCTTCTCAAAAATACTTCAAACTATTAAACAATCTTAATAAACATCATAAGAGAAACAGAATATTCATTAAAGATAATAAGACAGAAGCAAGAAATATATGTTTAAAGGCATAATTGCCAAAAGTCAAGTTACAAATTCAATCTTAAAACTTCAAAACATAACTAAAAAGAAAAGTAGCAAACTCGCAAGCACAATTGTGAAATCTAGGCCTAGATTTCATCACTGTCATCATCCTCATTATCGAGAGTAGCAAACATTTCCTTCATAAACAATTAATAGTCATTTTGTGATAAATTGAATAATTAAGTTATATAAAAACTGTTAATAGTAATTTAAATAATTAAAAATAAAATACTTCGTAGTATTAGGCTTTAATTTTAGGAAACTAATTAAATTATTGATTAATAATAATAGTAATAATTATATAATTAATACACATCTTTGTCACACTCATCTTTTGAATATGACATTGTTTCACCGTCCAACACTCTATGCCATACACTCTACCCTTGGTCTCCAAAGTTTGTCGCCATACTTCCAACCTTGGTTTAACCCCCAATTGTGTCTCATCGATCAATATAATATCATCGGCAACATCATGCACCACGAATCCACGATATATCTCTTGAATTGACTTTGTAAGTTCATCCATGATTGTAGCAAATAAGAAAGGACTCAGAGCCGATTGTTGGTGCACTTTGACAGTAATAGGGAACTCTGTAGTCCTCCCTACACTAGTACAAATACTCGTAGTACAAGGCTCATACATATCCATGATGATACTTATATACTTACGTGATATGCCTTTTCCAGTCAAAGCCCATCAAAGGACTTCTCGAGGTATCCTATCATATTCCTTTTCTAAGTTGATGAACACCAAATGCGGATCGTTTTTAGTGTCTCTATACTTCTCCACAACTTGTCTACGAAGCTGAATAGCCTCAGTTGTTTAGCATCCGGGCATAAAACCAAATTGATTTTCCGAAATTTTCACATTTATTCGAAGTCTTTGCTCAACCACTCGCCCCTAAAGTTTCATGGTGTGACTCATAAGCTTAATCCCTCGATAGTTGGCACATTCTTGTACATTACCCTTATTTTTAAATAGGGGAATAAAAGTACTCTTCTGTCAACTCATTGACATTTTGTTGTTTCTTCAAATCAGGTTGAAGAAATGTGTTAACCAATTGATACCCCTCTCTCCCAAACTTCTCCAGGCCTCGATCGGTGTGCCATCCGACTCACTGTTTTCTTTCGCCCCATCTTTCTCAAAGTCTCCTTAACTTCTGACATTTGGATCTTTCTCAGAAAATCCCGATTTACCAATCTAGTATAGTAAGATCATTAATACCTTGCACTTTATTCCCGTATAACAAGGTATCAAAGTATGACCTCCACCTCTCTTTAATTTCCTCGTCCTCCATTAGCACCCTTTGAACAACATCATTCACACTTAACTTTTCCGATATCTGGGGTCCTATGATCACGAAGATGAGCAAGTCTGTACATATCTTTTTCTCTTAACCTTAGAGTCCAATTTTACATACAACTCCTTGTTCACTTTCCCTCTTGCTTCCTTTACGACTTTCTTTTCTTTTCTTTTAGCCTCTTTGTATTCCTCTATGTTCTCTTTGCTCCAACTTCGGCCCAATTTCTTGTCTTTATTGCTTGTTTCATCTCATCATTCCACCAAGATGTGTCCTTTTTTTGTGGCAGACATCCTTTAGATTCTTCGAGTATCTACTTTGCAACTTTGGTAATGATCAACTCCATTGATCACAACACATCATCCACATGCGCGTCATTATCAATACACCATACATCTTCCTAAAATATTGTGTGCAAAATTTTATCGAAGATCCGCTCGAGCCTCCACCACTTTATCTTTGGCTCCACTTGTTGTTTAACCCGCCTTCTCTGCTTACCTTGAAAATCAAGCACAAACATCCTATGCTGAGTGACAACACTCTCACCTAATATAACCTTACAATCAGTGTAGCTAGTTCTTCAAGTCGTACGTAATAAAAAGTAGTCGATTTGGGTACTATTAGCTCCACTTCTATACGTCACAAGGTGAGTCTCTTTTCTTGAACCAAGTGTTCATTACACCAGCTCATATGTTGAGGCAAAATCCAGAATGTTCTTCCCCGCTTCATTTCTAGTCCCAAAACCATGTCTGCCATGGATACTCTCAATATCATCACGACTTGGGCCCACATGCCCGTGGAGGTCGCCTCGTATGCCCAGCTTCTCTTCCCTAGGCACTCGTCCCACCACTTCCTCAAGATCTTCCCAAAATTAGAGTAATACATACATCCAATCTCACTTGTGGTGCATAGGCCTTTACCACGGACATGATCTCATCTCCTATTATCAATTTAATGCTCATGATGCGGTCATTCTTCTTAAAGACTTCCACCACACCCTCAACATAATCACACGCCACAATTCCATTTCTGGTCTTCTCTGTCCCCGCATACCACAACTTCAAACCTCCGGAATTAATTTCACGTGTCTTTTCTCCATCCCACTTAGTTTCTTAGACATACATAATGCTGATATTCCTTCTTGTCATAACTTTGACAACCTCAGATGATCTTCTCGTAAGAGAGCCAATATTCCACGTCCCAAAGCCCAATCTGGCAACTTGTCTTCTCTTATTCCTTCTCTTATTCCATGTCCATGCCTATTTAACACCATCCTCGAGCATTGGGGTGGCGCGTCGCTTCCGGACGACGACCTAGCAACATTAGCATTCTTATAAGCACATCTAGACCTATGAAGTGTAGCGCATCCTTGCATATTTGACACCACACTCAGACGAAGGGATGATGTGTCGCTTACGTGCGATGACCTAGCTGTAGCAATATTCATATTTTGATTCATGTCATGTGATGTGACTAAGTGATACTGTTGGCCGTCACGCGCCTACCACAACACCTTCCTCCTTTATCCTGGGTTTGGATAAACATGATGCCAAAAAATGATCTCATGACGGAGTGCAAAGATAAATTCACCCTTTAAAAATAATTCTGGGTTGGATCCAAACAGTAGAAGGCATTCAAATGAATTCTTGAAGATAACTGCGCAGTTAAAAGCGCAGTTATCTTCAAGAATTTATTTCAATGCCTTCCCAATTGAATTCTTAGCTGAAATTTGGTATGAGTAAACTAGACTTAATGAATAAGATTCTCAAAACGACGACGGCCGGATAGAACCTTCTATATAAGGACTTATTTGACCTATTTTGGTTAGTACGTGGGCTTATTTGCCCCTTTTTCCTAGATGGATTGTGATCCTTCCATTATTTTCTGAATCCGCAGGATCACCCACATTAACAGATGTTCTAAACCCACCACTCTTTGAATTTTCATTTCTATTTACGGAGTATTTGTTTATGATGGTTTATTTCTGCACTGTATCTTTTGTGCATTACTACTCGAGGGGTTGAATCTTTCTCAAGAATTTCAACAAACTTTTAATTTGTCCATTATAATGTGAAAGATAACATTTGCTACCACTCTGGCTAGCAAAAGAGTATTTGAACTTTTAGGGTCAGTTTGGATGGGGGATTTTGGAGGTAAAGCAAGGGATTTTATACTACAAATATTTATATGGTTAGTTAGATGATGTATTTATATATACTATTCAATCTTCACTCTATTTCAATTTTTTCTAAATTTAAAAATAATTTTAAATTTTTATATGGCCCCTTCCCTGCTCTCTCCTCCGAAATCCCCTAACCAAATTGGCCCTTAGATCTCAAAAAGAGATGCAATGTCCATTTGCATAATTGCATTAGATGATTTAGACAGACAATCTTGTTCTTTTTTACTTCAGCATGCATAAAAGAAAACTTGTCCCTAAAATATATGCTCCAACTATTTCTTTTGGTTTTCCAGGTTTGTGGTCCTCCTGGGATGATGAAACATGTATCGGGAGAAAAGGAAAAAAGAGAACAAGGAGAGGTGTGCGCATTTTCTATTAATCTACTGAACCTTCACTCAATCCATCGATCCATTTATCTGTCCATTGCTTCTAATCATTTTATCATTATCAACATGCTTTTCTGTGTGTGCAGTTAAGCGGCATACTCAAAGAAGTTGGATTCACAGAAAGCATGGTCTACAAGTTCTGAGAATTAGTGGACACTAGATGGTCTCATTCTTGCAGTTTTCTCAATAAAAAAAATGAAATTTGAACAAATGCCCCCTGCCCCCACCCCCCGCACTTTTTACAGTAAAGATTCAGGAGCCAGAATGATAGGCTAATTATGTAGCTCAGGCTACCTTGTTGATGACCTGTCAAAAAAAAGAACGAAAACGTCAACTGCAAGTCTGCATTCTGCAACTTATGTAACTTGTTTGTGTTTGTCCATTAAGGCACAAGAGTTACCTCGCACATTCGATGCTCGGTTGACCGGTTGCACTGTTATGCAACATTCACAATCAACAACAATGACTTATAATTATGATACTAAATTGTGTTTTACTTTAAAATTTAATTTTATAGACAACTTTTATTGAATTTAAGAGTTACATTCAATTTAATTTAACAAATATTAATGTGAGGGGCAAACAATGAGTGATAAAACTCATGGGGTAACTATTTGATTTTTTAAAATGCAAAGTTGCATTAATAATTATGGCATAACCTCATGGGTTAATGGTGATTTTCCTAGAAAAAACCTTCATATATTATTAAAAACTAACAAATCCAATCCGAATCAAGCTGAACTAAATCGAACAAAATCAAATCGAAAGATAGTATGGTTTTTGTTTGGTAATAATTCTTCCAACCTGTTCCAAATCGAAATCGATAAAAACCTAACCGAAAACCGTTATGCCCATCCAGTGATGGATGTATTCAATATTTCAAATTTTCAATGCAAGTGTGTTCATGTGAACATCCAAAAATATAAAAACAATGGGCGCATATATGTCTGAATTGGAGTAATAATTTATTTATTAATATTTTAAGAAGAAAATGTGTAATTTTGAACACCCAAAATATAAATACTAGGTCCGCTATTGTGAATGTGTGGACATACCAGAAAAAACTACTTGAGAAATGAGATATTTAGACAAAAGTAGGGATGGACTTGGACTTGGTTTGGTCTTGGATCGGCCAGTCTCGGTTCCTAGTTCCCAAGCCCGAAACCGACTCGGAATAATTTGGGTCTCAATCTGGGTACTTGACCAGTCCCAATCTGGTCTTGGGCTGGTTCGGGTCTTATTTTATTTTAAATGAAATTGTATGGATTACAAAATGAAATTTAAATTTATATCAAACACTACAATTACTATTACACATTTATAAATTACAATTGAAAATATTTTTAACTTTAAATACATTCACTAATCGTCAAAGTTGTTTCCGAAGTTGGTTGTCGTTTCCTCCATGAAGTGTCTGTTCGGTGCTATGTTAACTTCTTGTGTTATACGGCATGCCTTCACCCAATCAGGAAAGCAAATGAGCAACTCAAGAGATGAAGTCTCAACTTCATTCTATAATCAGTCAAAACGTTGCTTGGTTGCTACACTTTGGTTACACAGCAACTGGTGAAATTGGAATCGACAATACTTGTTTGGCCATTTTTGATAAATTGGGAACCATCCCTTTGTGAGTGTTCCACCATTGGAGAGTCTCCTTCGTTATACACTTATACTCAATAGGAAATGATAGATATAAAGAAAGCTCGGTAATCGAGCTTTGTGCAACGACAAAAGTAGATTTAGTTCTTTTCAAGAGATTATATATTGTTGATTTACAAATACATTTTCCTTTGGATGAAGAAGTAGTTGTCTCGGGGGAGGGGGTACGTTATGATATTGTGTATGAAACTCATTAAATAAATTGTGAAATAGATTATTAACCTCGTTGAATTGGGATTAAGGTCTAAGGATCTATAGGGGTGTCTTCGTACATAAGGAAATCAATGTAGAAAGCAATATAATAGAACTATAAAAATGTTTGATAACTTGAAAGTTTGAAACGATGATCAAGATAGAAAGCAATAGAATATATAGGCGGAATGTAGGCATAATACTTTAAAAGTTTTTCCTTCAAAAAATCATAAAAATAATGAATATAAGAAGCTTGAGAAAATTCTTGAAAAACACCGATAAGATTAATAGCTTCTACAAAAAATGGTTACTAGTAGGTTTATAAACATGAGAAAATGTTTAAGTAGTGTTATGAAAATATACTAAAATGTTGCAAACTTTCTCCATTGTGTCGATCTCAACGGGTTCTATAATACTACGTACAATTACAATTTTCTTTCATAAAAGTAGGAAAATGATCTTAAAATCTAAGAAGCACAACAATTAAATTATAAGTACTATTCCAACGAATAGAAAGATCTTTAGGAAAAATACAATATTTAATACGTTTAGATTTCAAATAAGCACGTCATTGCACTTTAAGTTGAGTACTACCTCAAATCATTCTAATAGCCCCCTTAACTTTGTCCATCACATTTTCTAATGTGGTTAAGCCGTCCTTCACACATAAATTATTAATATGACATGCACAACACTAATGAAAAATTTTACCTATCAAAGAAGAAGAACCACATAATTCACGCAATCTAGGTGTAGCAGCAGTATTATTAGTAGCCAATACAAACACCTTATCATTAAAATACGTTCCATGAATATAAATATTATCAATGGTGTGTCTTTCACTAAAATCTCAAAAAGTTATAACTCATTTATGCATTTGCCAATCATCATCGATCCAGGGTGCAATAACACCCAAATATTACAAGTGATGATATGTATCTTTCAATATATCACTACAAACAGTCGCACACCCATTAAAATTTGCAAATAAATGAATTAATTTTTCCCTTTCCAAAAGATACTGTTTACTAACTTGTTTTTTAATTGTCTTGCGACTATTGTTTCTAAATTGTGGATTTAAAGAACATTGAGAATAAGCACGTAAAGCAAGACTTTCACAAAAAATAAAAGAAAAATTTTCTTCACAAATTAACTCAAACATAGCTTTTAAATGTTGCTTATCATTATAAACGAAATTACCGAAGGGTTGATCATTTGCAAACATCGATATTTGTGTTTGCACGACTTTCTCTTCATTTTCACCGCCTCCGTGGGGTGCCTCAAGTTCAAGTTCTTTTTGGCGGTGTCGTAGCCCGCCGACACTCCCCATACTCAATACTTGCGGATAATGTTTGCAATGTGTGTACCACTTTCCATCCTCCGGATTCTTCAACTTGTCAAAATGATCTACAAAAAGAGGAGATTTGAGTTTGGAAGTCTTACGTTTTTGGACCGGTTGGGATGAACCGACGCCACCATCTTGCTCCTCCTCGTCGGGGGTATCCCCGCTGCCTTGTTTCACCTCATCCCCAACGCCTTATGCCTCCTCCTCCGTGCCGTCGTCCTTCAACTCTTCGTTAATTTCGGGAAGGTTTTCTTGTTGAAAAACTGCCCTTGGTTTTGAGACAAGAGTTGCTCGAGTTGGTCGTCGCTCGTGGCATCTCTATGGTTATAATCGTTCGCCCAATCATCGGGACTTTGGGACCAAAAAGTTACCCCAACTTGTAACCAAGCATTCCAGTCCAGCTGGTTGCGAGGGTACGTACCGTGCCTAGTGAGAGGTCTCGAGTTCGAAACCTGCTAGGCACATAAAGGAGTTTGAAACTCAATGGAGTGAGTTTCAGCCCTGATTACTCCCGGACAATCAGGAACTATGACGCAGTGTGGGTTGTTGTTGACAGGCTCACGAAGAGTGCACACTTTTTACCTATCAACACCACCTACCCACCCGAGAGATTAGCCAAATTGTATACAGACGAGATCGTGAGGTTACATGGTGTTCCGGTGACCATCGTATCCGATATAGACCCACGATTCACGTCACGTATTTGGCCAAAATTTCAAGAGTCTATGAGAATGAGGTTGAAGTTCAGTACTGCTTTCCATCCACAGATGGATGGGCAGTCTGAAAGAGTTATACAGATCTTGGAGGATATGTTGAGAGCTTGTGCATTGGAGTTCCAAGGAAGTTGGGACAATTATTTAGCACTCGTGGAGTTTGCCTATAACAACAGTTATCAGGTGAGTATCGACATGCCTCCATACGAGGCATTGTATGGGAGGAGATGTCGTACACCGTTGCGTTGGGATGAGGTTGGCATGGCCAAACTTGAAAGTACAGAGTTGGTAGAAATCACCAAGGCAAAGGTAAAGATGATTCGTGAGAGGTTTAAGATGGCCCAGGATAGACAGAAGAGCTATGCCGATAAGCGCCGAAGAGCCTTAGAGTTTAAGGTGGGAGATGAGGTGTTCTTGAAAGTTTCACCTTGGAAGGGAATCATCCGATTTAAGAGCCGAGGGAAACTTAACCCACGATACATAGGGCCATTTGTGATTCTTGAGAGAATTGAGGCCGTAGCATACCAATTGCAGTTGACTCCAGAATTGGAGAAGATACATAACGTGTTTCACGTGTCTATGCTCAAGAAATATATGCCGGATCTGTCTCATGTACTAGAGAAACCACCCGTGGAAATACGGGAAGACTTGAACTATGTCGTACAACCGATAAAGATACTTGATAGACAAGTAAAGAAGCTAAGGAGCAAGAAAGTTCCAACGGTGAAAATCCTTTGGAAAAGTGACCGAGTTAGTTGAAGAAGAAACTTGGGAAACGGAAGCCTTGATGAAGGAACAGTATGCATTTCTGTTTGAATAAGCGTTGTGAAATTTGGGGACGAAATTCCCGTTAAGGGAGGGGGGGGTGAACTTGTAACACCGTCCCCAAGCTTATTTACTTTTTAGTGAATCATGTAATAAACCTTGAAGAATGATTTATGAATTTACAAGGTCGTAATTTTTTATTATTTCTTTTGTGTGAATAGTAAATTGCACGTGGGGCCCACATCGGGAGCGGGGACCACCCGATAATTCCGAGAAAACATATTTCATTCATCTTGGTCTAGATAATATGTATATGGGGGTGAATATTCTTGGTCGGTCATGGAAATGGCGTAGGGTTGACCAGTTGGTCAAACGAGGCCCAATTACCGGCATCGGTAATTTATCCGATAATAACCCAAATTGAATTTCAGAGACTTCTAAATTAAAGTTGGGGAATCTATAATTATTCTAAAGTTCCATAGTGATTGAAATCACACAATATATTTTATTTGACCCGATAAAATAAAATATAATTAAAACAGTCCGAGAAATACAACTTTCGGGGCCGAATGTACATTTCGGGACAAATTAGGATCACCTCCCACATGAGTGGGGGCCACCCCACGTTTTTGTGTGCTCAATTAATCAAGGGGAGATGGAGTTGAAAAACATGTGGAGAAGGGGGTTTTGGCATCAAAGGTACCATGGAGGACCCCCACCCTCATTCATTTGACATTTGAGACAAAATGTGTCACCCTCTCTCACCCCCAACCTCCTAGCTCGTCAGCTCGACCATCTATCCAAGAATAGAGAGAGAATTTCAAAATATCATCCTCCATTGCTGCTCATTTCAAGCTCAAGCTTGAAATGAGGAAGA